ACCAGCAAAAAAAAAATCAAAATCAAATGCATAAATTCAAAATAAGACAAAATCAAATGCATAATCAAACGCCCAGGTACACCCCATCTCTCTCTCTCTCTCTCTCTCCAACACATACACACACAGTCAAACCCACAAATCCTTGAGTATCCATGTTTCATAGATTAGCGGTCTAGTGGATAGTCAGAGAAAAAACAAAGTTGCTGCCAAAGATGAAAAACAGAGAGAAAAAAGGGTATTGCTGGGAAAAACAGAAGCATCGCAAAACATATGGCTGAAGCGGACGCAGCTCCATTGGCTTTGAAGGCTGATTTTGCATTTAGTATGTGATGTACTGAATTTCTTATCAATTAAAAAAAAAATCTGGGCATTGATATGTGATTTATGAAAGCAGATTTTTCAGTTGTTGTTTTATGCTTTATTTTGGTTCTACTTACAAAATGTTGGTACCCAATAATACTTACTTAACTATCACTCAAATACATAATCCAAGTACCCGATGTACAAACGAAGCCAATTTGTTTTCTAACTTAAGGACTTAATTGATCATTGCTTCAAATTCCCAAATTCAATTCTAATAAGCGGGGATGCAAATAACTCATTCATAAGCATTTTGATGTATGTTCACACCTTGTTCACACTGTTCAAGGAATGGTAGGATCAAAGCTCCTACACTCCATTGAAGATTTCTGTACACCATCACAGAAAAAAAACCTTAAAGGACACCCAATCTAAATGTAACCGGAACCAACGTCTTGAATGCGTATTGGATCGGTATCATGCCCGAGAACGTGTTGTTCTCCAAGGACAAAGCTGACAATTTGGGCATGAAACCCATGAACCCAGGTGAGTGAAGAGACCCGATGGGACTAACCCACTAAGGTCCACCACCTTCTGTCCTTAGAGAACTTTCTTCCATTAAAGTTCAAAAACCTCACTGTGTGTGCTGCTGAAAACCCCCATGTTTATGTGCAATGTCATGAAAACCCCCATCAAATTGCTCTTAGCCTGAAAACCCCCATGTTTATGCGCAATGTCATGAAAACCCCCATGTTTCAAAAGTCGGTCATTGGTGAAAGGGATTCGTGTGTGTGAATATGAATGGTGTGTGTGCTGCTAAGCGATTGGAGAGAGAGAGAGGAAGAGAGGGGGAGAGGAAAGTACCTGGGCTGAGCTGTCGCTGGTCGCCGCTGGTGTGTGTGCTGCCCCTGAGAACGTTGGTGTGAATGGTGTGTGCTACCACTGAGCCATGGCAGATGAGTGAGAAGGGTCTGGGTAACGGTGTAAGGGTAGCGTGTAAGGGTACCGCTGTGTTGAGCCATGAGCCATGGCAAAGGAGGTGACTGGTGAACAGTGCAAAGGTGGGTAGCGTGTAGGGGTTTGTTTCATTTGGGCGGGATTTATTTTTTATTTGAGATGAAATGTGAACCATCGGATCAAATCAGAAGAATTGAGGTGAAATTTAGGCCTTTGAATTAAAATTAGATTTAATCTGAACCGTTCTTGTGCTTTCCCAAATTAATTAAAATTGAATTAAATTTTTAAACAAAAAAAAATTCAAATTGAATTCTATCTTATTATTATAGATTGAAATCAAACTAATCCATACTATTTTTCAAAAATTTCGATAAAATTTCATCTAAAAGTAAGAGCCGAGAAAAATATAAACATGTCTACGGAACTTACAATCATACATAATAATCTTCATAATACACCGTACCACCAAATAAATTCACATAAATAAGAATCCTTTGGTTTGAACATTCCATATTTTGAAGTATCGGTCAATAATAAAATTGCAACCCTTAGCAATAAAACAAAACCAAAACAGTATGTATGGTAAAGTATCTCAGAGAATCCATCTACCCATAGAGAACTATTGAGTATTTTCAGCCTTCCATGAGTTGAGGAAAACAAAAATCTATAATACATGAAACAATGTGAACCACCGTCAATGGACTCATTAAACATTAATCCAAGCATCAGAATTTTAAGTGAACAAAAAAATTCATATTCAACTAAAACAATTTAAAATAGCAACATAAGCAAACAACAAAAAAGATGGTGTGTTAATTGAGATGAAATTCATGAAAATAAAATTTGAGAAAAATAAAAAATTCACTTCATTCATGATACCTTATCTACACCATTCGTAGTGTATATAGAAATTCAATAGTATGTCATAGTCTCTATGTAAATAATCAAACCACCAACCATGCACCAAAGAAACCCATTCCCAACCAATCGATCCACTTCGTGAAAATTTCCAAACAATAAAAATCATAGCCTCTTCAAACTCACCTTTTTGCAAGAATTGTGTTGTGCGCGCAAGTGAGGTGCATGAGAATTGGTACAAATCTACTTATCATTAAAAAACACAAGAATTTAAAGAAAACACAACTCAATTCATTTATCGAATTCAATAGCATACTCCAATTCTACTTTAACAAAATCATTTATCAACTACCGCGACAACTCAGTAATATCATCAAACAGACTATGTCGCAATGAGTGTGGATCATGGTTTAGAAAGAACTAATTTTCCATAAAACAAAGAAGCCTAGAAAGTAGAAACCGAACCCACCTTCTTCCTCTTCTTTATTAAATTTTTTATATGTATCCTGTTAATTGCAGTGACTGTCTACAAAATTAAGGAAACCCATAATTCAGTAAAGATAGCAGGGAGTAAGAGAGTGTCTACAATCGGAAACTCAGACAACTCGATTCCACAAAAAGATTTACCAAAAATATTTGAATACATTAATTTCGAGTTCTTTTCATGCAAGCAATACAACAAACACCTTCTGCACGTGCCTACGCCACTTTCCAAATAACTGTCCACAAATACACCAAAACCACATAATGCCTTCAGACACCTTTTGTGATGATTCTTCAATGTAAATATAATGTTTGGAAGGCCATAAATATAGCTACTGTACCCTAACAGTGCACACAAATTTGGAGCAACACCATTATTTAGATGTAAATGAAACCCACTCAAGCGTAATAACTAACGTACGTTTCAGCTATCAAATAGATATTGATCAAGCAACGCCTACACAAAGCTCCAAGGGATCCATTGCTCCAAATAACGATAACACAAAAGAGACACATTGCTCCAAATGATGACAATTGAAACACCACATGATATATTTATTTCGCAAATATTCAAGATAAATGTCGTCTCAATCTCTCAATTTCAAACTAAAGCACTAACAGTTCACATGATATATTTAACATGATAAATTTAACAATAGAGTACCTCTCGGAGGCATTTCAACAAACAGTTCAAGTACACTAACTGAAACACCCAAAGTGATCCAATCCAAGAAAATGGATGGGGAATCTGGCGATACCCTATTCATACCATTAGTGTCAAGGATATTGAAGTTTTCTTAGATAATGCTCACAGATTGAACTATATTTTTGTTATGCTACTGGCAGGGTCGTTGGTGGGTCTCCATGGTGGTGGTCGTTGTTCAGGCTAGTAGATAAGAGAGTGAAGAGAGAAAGATAGAGTGGTGAGAGAAAGATAAGATAGAGATTGGGGAAGACAAAGGGGTTAACAAACGCATGAGAGAGAAGAGATAGGGAGGAGAGAGAACCGAGAGAGAGGGGAATAGAAAGTACCTAGCGGCTGGAGATGGTGACCCCGGTAGGTGGCGCTGGTGGTTTCGGCAGATGACGCTGGTGGTTTCGACTCTAGTGGGTCTGTCTCTCTTGGTGACTTACAAAGTGAGAAGAGAGAGAGAGAGAGAGACACTGAGCGAGAGGTGAGAAAGAAGAAGACAGTACGCTTAATTGGGGTTGTGTGTTGGATTGGGGTAGTGTGTGTGTGGGGTTAAAATGGGCGGGAGATGATATTTACGTAGAATGTATTTTGAGCCTTTGGATTAAGTTGAAAGAATTGAGATGAAATTTGGACTTTTAAATTAAAAGTGGATTTAATCTGAATCGTTCTTGTGCTTTCCCAAATGAATTAAAATTGAAATAAATTTTGAAGTGAAAATGGATTGAAAATTGGTTTATTATTATAGATATATAAACGAATATATGAAGCCACTTATTTATAAAAATAGTGAATTATGAAAGGCTCAAATCCTTCGAATCGTGAAGATGACCATAGTGACCGGCATAGCAAACTATTTGTAAGTGCCGAATCATCTGACGTGATCACAGAACAGAGCTAGTTCTGCCACTCTTTCTCATCGATCTAATTGTGCGATTCTTGCGATGCTAGTCGTTTTCTCTCTGTAAATCGGTAATTCTGTTAACACTCCTATGATTTCATTGATACATGCAATTAATTGGGTTTTGTTCATATAGGTTCTGTAAATATTGTTGCCCTATGTCAGATTAGCTGCGTTTTTAATTTCTTGAAAATACCCAGATTGTTCTTGGGCTTGTTTAGTCTGAATTTGACAATATCTAGGGCTGTCTCTGTTGTTTTTGATTGAAAATACTAGATATTTGACATTGATACATGCATATTAATTGGGTTTTGCTCATATGGGTTCTGTAAATATTGCTGCCCTAATTCAGATTAGCTTCGTTTTTAATTTCTTGAAAATACCCAGATTGTTCTTGGGCTTGTTTAGTCTGAATTTGATAATATCTAGTGCTGTCGCTGTTGTTTTTGATTGAAATTATTGAAAATATCAAATATTTGACATTGATTTGATTCAGGAAAACCAGGCGAAACTGGATATTTATCTTTATATCTATTTGTCAGACTGGAAGAAATCTAACCGACCTGTTTATCAATCGATCCCATGGAATTTTTAGAAATCCCAAATATAATGCCGGAGGATGCAATATTTTGACTGTCAGTTTCACTATTTCCCCTCTGCAGGTTTGCTTCCCTTAGGGTGTGAAGCTCGTATATACATTCTGGACTTGTGGGTGTTTTTATTGTGGAAGAGTTTGAAAAGTTCGATAATTTCTAAGAATTTTTGAGCGGAAAAGCGAGAAAAGATTAGAAGGTTTTTTCTGAATCAGCAATGGATCGATTTGATGAAATCTATAGGGAGCGAATCTCAGCTCTTTGGCAAGCAATGCGTGCAACAAAATGCATAAGAGAGGATAATGTTCCATTCAAAATTGAAGAGGTAAGTAAATCTGAGCTAATAGGTTCTCTACTACTGCATAATTCACTAAATTCCGACTTTCTATTAACAAACATTTTCCCACTTACAATAACCTTGTTATTCTTGGATCTTTCAGGGTCTCTACTTGGGTTCCCTTGGTGCTGCAAATAACAAGAGTGCATTGAAAAGCTTGAATATCACGCACATTTTAACCGTGGCCAATTCATTGGCACCTGCTCATCCCAATGATTTCACATACAAAATTGTTAATGGTAGGAAAGTTTAGGCTTTGATACCTGAAGTAGTCTCCTGTCATTTATTTGCGAATAATGTTCCTTGAGTGAATATTTGCATGCTAGAATGTCCCCTAAGGTCTTATATGTTGTTCAACTTCTTTGCATTGTGTCTTCAAGCTTTGTGCAAAAACGACATTTTAATAGTATCTTTTCTCAAAGCAATTTTGTTTTCAACTTCATATGTTTTGTTTCAGTGGTGATTTTTTTAAGGTAAATAACACTGAAACCACCAGAGTTTGGTGAGACAACAGGCTACCCCTTGATATTTCAAAATTACATGAAGACCCCTTGTGAAAATTTTTAATGAAATTCATTAATCATTTTGACCTTATTTGACTGACTTATGAAGTTTAAATCAATGAAAATAAGGGCAAGTATGGAATTGTAATCTTTTTTTCATTGGTTTCTACTCAGAAGGAGTGACTTTGTTACAATTCAAAAACTCAAGACTCGGGGGGTGTTAATGTAATTTACCCTTCTTTTTCTTAGTATAGTAGTATGTTATTCATTCTTTTACTTGTACTTAATTTCTGATTTTCTGAATAAAAGAGCTTTCAGTTAGGATTTCTTTGATGCTTTTTAATATTTGAAAGCATATTCACTTTTATTGTGGAAATTTGGATTAACTTGTGGTATATGTGGCTTGAGGCAGTCCTAGACAGAGAAGACATAAACATATCGCATTACTTCGATGAATGTTTCGAATTCATTGATGAAGCTAAAAGAAAGGGTGGTGGTGTATTGGTTCATTGCTTTGTGGGAAGATCCAGAAGGTGAATTTTTTTACCTTTGTCTCTTGCTTTGCAGGGATTATGCTTTTATGGCTGATGAAGAGATATTTTGAGCATGTTTTTACCCTATTTCTATGGCGTTTATTGGTTTTTCCAAACAAAGACAGAAACAAACTTCCATAGTTCTATAAGTCAGTTTCTCAATTTTAGATGTGGATATTTGGTAATTTACAAGTCCTCCCCATTAGTAGCTGTGGGCATTGATATCAACAGTTACCAGCTTCAATTCATTTTTCTATGTTAAAAGAATGACTCATTTGGTGATTGATTAGTGTTGTTCTGTGAGCCTGGTGAGGTCCATGCTGTGATTCTTGTGCTTGATCAGATGATGTAGTTCTGTTAGAAAAAAAAAAAATATGATGTAGCTGGGCTTGATCTTGCCTTGAGTTCTGGCTAATCCTTTTCAATCTTTAATTGGTGCATCTGTAAGTAGTTGTGTGTATCTTAATAAATTTCACCTGGTCAGTGATTCTTTACTTCCTCTAGGCTGATACAAATGTGGCCAACTTGCTCCCCCAAAGAAGAGAGAGAGAACGAGGAGACTTTCCTATTTCATTTCCAAAAACGATGTGGATGAGGAAGACGCAGAGCTTATATAATTGAAACCTAAAATATTTCACAACCATTTTAGATGTTTTTTAACTTGCACTAGTGGGTTAATATATCAGTGTGTCGCTTTTAACTATCCTATGAAACCTGTCAAAAGATTTCGTTAAAGAATTGGGTTTTATCCTTAATAGCTAAAAACTACGTAAACCATGAAATTGAGCAAACTGAAACAAATTTCTGTCTTCCACCTGGCAGTGTGACTATTATTGTTGCTTATCTGATGAAAAAGCATGGTATGAGCTTATCCGAAGCCTTGGAACACGTGAAGAGTAAAAGACCAGTGGCATCTCCTAACTCTGGTTTTCTGTTACAGCTACAGAACTTTGAGAAATCTCTTCGAGGTAACCATTGATAATGTAGTTGATTTCACTGATTATTTATAAATTTAGACAGTACTTGATCTGTTTAACCATCTTCCCATGTAAATCCCTGGGTAGGACAAATTCAGACACTGGGAACATGTTGGTGATGTGTTTAAACCAAATGTTAGAAATCAATATGTCAATGTAGTCTGGAAATGGTGAAGTAGTGTGGTAACATCATAATTGACCAATGTTCAGGACTATTATGGAGAAATTTCTAAACATCAGAGTGGGAGTCTTGAATGCTCAGGAAAAGAAAAAAGGCAGGAAAAGTAGGGTCCCCCGCCCGCATGTTTTTTTTTTTTTTGGGGGGGTGGGGGGGGGGGGGTGGGAGTTGATAACTTATGTAATTTGACTTGGATTATGTTTGAAGTTGGCAACTATACCATTTATAGATTACTATTTGGAGTAAATCATCTTAAAGCTTCATGGAAGAACATAGCAATGGATGGAAAACTTTAACAAGTTGGAGGATTCCTGAAAATGCTTTGAGAATAGATGTGAAGATGGTGTTTGTAGCTACTGATTTTGCATTTACTGCACAGTGATACTTTAGAGGACTAGTTTTTTTTTTTTTGCATTTTTGCCCTAACCTTTGTTACGGTAATAGCAGTTTTCTGCTTTAAGCGATATGGTAATTTAGTGATTACTCTGTTCTCTTCCATTGAAATGCAGGAGTGAAGGCAGAAAGATCACATGAAGTTTAGGATTGAACCATGCTAAGTGGATGACCAACACCAAAAGTCATGGTGAACAATGCAAGGAAAAATTGAATCAAGACCTCCTTTCTTGGTTTTTTTTTTTTTTTTTCATTTTCAATGATTAATAAAGTCTAGTATAATTGTATATATGAACTCTATGTAGTCTCCAAATGCTTGATGTTATTACCACTTTCTGAAAGTTTGCATCCTTAGAAAGTTGTCTTCCGTCAATGTCATGATCGGGTTACTTACTGGGGAAAAAATATGGTATTGAGAAGTTATTTTTCGATATTATATTTGTACTTTTTGTTCAATAAAACATAACACGTGTATAGTTATTTTATTGTATACTTTTTCGCTGTCGATGGTTACAACTGAATTAAACAAATATTGAACGAGGTCTCACTCTCGTGCTTACAATTCTTACCTCTTTTTACTGGTTAAAAACAAAAAAATTTGTACTTCTGTAGGAATGTACACTATCACCACTAATTAATAAGGTTTCATTAAAACAAAATGGAAGGAAAAAAAAAAAAAGGAGATTTAGTTGCCGTTTGGAATGATTGAGAAAAAATATTTTTTGGGCTTGTGTTTGTTATCTAACATTTTAAACAAATCATTGGCGTTTTGAATAATCAAGTTAGAAGAAGTCAAGAAAAATATTTATTTAGAAACTTTATTTTTATATCAATCATTGCTGCCACAATCCCCCGCCCCCCAACCACCACCACCCACACCACCAGCATCGTAGCCGTCATCACCATTGTTGCCACCACCCTACATATAAGCCAACTTTTCTTCCATTGCTTTGACGCTATCTTGCAAATAGCTTGGTGGGGGATTGTGCTTCTTGAATCATATTT